AAATGAATGGAAACACACTACAGCGTAGGTGTCCAAGATAATGAAGTGTGACTGTTACCCATTTATCAGTAACAACAACATTCTGTGGCACAGAAGGAATGAAACAGGAATCACAGTGTCAGGCCTTCAAAAACACTGATTAGTGGGATACAGGTATAGTGTTTTATATTTTCATTTGATTGGTGGCAACTGCACATGATATGACTCAATTTAAGAGTAACAGCCGGAGATAATTATCAAAATAAATAATAATCACCAATAATAAAACGTAAAATGAATGGTTAAATAAACTTTTTTTTTTTAAAACGTACCATCATATATATTTATATGATAACTGGAGTCAACTACATTTTACATTTAGTTAGCTTGTAACACTCAAGTTATTTTTTTATACAGTTTGTTACTGATCAGTGAGTAAATGGTAAATGGCCCGTTTCTACTTTAGCACTCAAAGCACTTTATAAAACATGCCTCATCAACAACTTGGGGTTCAGTATCTTTCCCAAAGATACTTTAGCATGCAGACTGAGGCACCCAGGAATTGAACCCCCAGGTTCCATTTACCACCATCCAATCAGTAGATCTAATTATGGAATTGACCGTGCTAGCTCTTGAGCTACAGCCTACAAAATTTTGAGTGGAAATCATGTTAATAAAACTTTATCAACATCCATCGATGTCACAGTTTAACATCCTCTGATTAGTGTGTACTTTTTGGATGCAACCTTAATTTTACAATCAGACATATTTTGAGTCTAAATATAACCAAAGAAAAAATAAGACCAGTTTCCAGGTTAACAGTCTTGATTTAAAACAGTCCACCTGCTAATTATAACATTCCAAACAAACGTGATATTCATTATGATCATTTCATTCTTTGTTGTAGTGAAATAATTTGTAAAGGCTTTTGCATTTTATTAACCATGGTTATTGTAAATAAAGTCAAAACACACAGTGGTTGTTTTTCAAAACACACAAAATCGTTTAATTTTTAACAGGACAAAAAAAATAAAAAAATACAAATAAAATAAACACTCCGTGCTCAATAGATAAGAATAATAACATAACAATAAGCAGTCATTACCTAAAATGATAATTACTTCAAGCCATGGCACAAGGGTCAGTGCTGGATCATTTCATAGAAGAATCAGTAAAGTCTCAGATAATCTCCGTCGTACCAGCTGTTTCAAAGACGTGTAGGATTTCCTCATTATTTGCACATGCTAATTCTAAGAAGTGCAAAGTACAAACACTGTGTCCTGTGTGCTCTAACACGGTGGTGAACTGTGAAGACGCCATTGAACTTCCACTACACCCAAAGCCTTTTCTATTTGACTTGGATCCAGAAGTAAAGATGACAATAAAAATAGAAAAACTTTAATGAACATCAGTTTCTTTTATGCCAAACACTAAAATAATATTTTCTCCTCATAAATCAAAAGTCATCCACTGAATAAGATGAAGCGAAACTTCTGCATAAAACAATAAAAGACATGAATGTCACAGAAACAGAAATGGAGTTCCTGTCTGTTGTAAACCATCCAGTGTCTGGTTTCTTAAAAATTATGAATAAATACTAATATCATAATTTTTATGTGAATTTGCGATGCTCTCCAGAACTGAAGCTGTTGATTTACCAGTCAGTCTGCATCCCTACTCTCACCCAGCTTTGGAATGAGACTGTGGACACAAGGGGCAGGAACGAGCTTGAAGCTGGACTCAGGCTCAGAGATGGTGTGAAAAGTTCAGTCTCTGTCATCGCTGTACCTGTTATCTGTCAGCTCAGACAGCTTCACAGTCAGTAACACAAACTGCTGCGCTTGAGGGATGAGTGCCTAGTATTTGACCTAAGATCAACAGTACTCTGAAATGGTAAACACGGTCAGTCACATACTATAATTCTATCATAAGCTATTTATCCATCAGATGCATTCACCATCAGCAGAAACCTCTGTGATCTGATGGAAACATCTTTGAGGTATTTTGTAGAGGAGCAGGAATGAGTTAGAAATACTGTCAGGACTGAGCTTCGTACAGGTTGTTCTTCTAGTTCTCAGCACCCTTCATCACTTTGTTGGCTCATAGCATTGAAACAGCATTTGTATCTGTGGCACTTTGAAAAAGGCTTAAAGATGTGGCACTTGGCTGCTTCACTGTTTTATTATTATGACGTCATTTCCTTTACATGTTTGTTTCGCTCCAGCAGACCTTTTTGAAATTTTAGACCGAAACATTTGACGGTAATTATGAAATAATGTTATGAGTCTCTTGGCCAAGTTAAAAGGCAGCTTATGATACTTCCTGTCTCAATATCAGGACTACTGAATTTCATAACATGACCGGTAATGAGAGCTAAATATTCTTACATTCATTTGGAAGCTCTGCCATCCAGAGTAATCACCGTGTGTTTTAAAGGTGCAGTATGTAAAATATGGTTCCAGTCCTAAGCCCAAATAAAAGGGGAGGGTTGTGTCAGCAGTGGGATTCTGCCAAATCAAACATCAACAAGAATGAGATTTCTGTATTGGGTCAGTCAGAGCTTGGGTTAACAACTACAACCTCCGGTGTGTTGGCAAGCATGCTGTCCAAGGAAACTGTGTGCTGTTGCCCCAAACATAGGAGGAGAGGGTGAAAACCTTGGAGGCAGGGAGAAAGAAGGCAGGAGTGTGGAGGTGAGAGTAGGGACTTTACATGTACTATGGGACTGGTAAGGAGGGCAGATGTAACTGGTAACTGGAGCAGATGTTAGTAGACAGAGTTTATGAGCAGATGTTGGGTAGACATGGGTTAGCCCAGGGGTCTGCAACCTTTAACAACCAAAGAGCCACTTGGACCCAGTTTCCACGCAAAAGAAAACACTGGGAGCTGCAAATACTTGTTGACATCTAAAATGAAGATAACACTGTATATATTGTTTTTTACTTTTATGCTTTGTGTGAACAACTAAGGTGTGTTGCTTATGAAATCCATGAAGTGCTACAGAGAAAATTACATTTTATTTAAGTAATTAACACATTTTGAACTCTTAAAGAAATATAACAAAAGCAAAGACACCCAGCTGAACTAAAATGATCCAGCAAACAAAAACTGCTGTGAGCCGCCCTTATATCGCCTTTGGGCTTTTGGAGCCTTGACCTGACTTTTAAAAAATAACTGGGAAAAAAGCTCTATGCTGCTAAAAAAAGAAAGAAAAATAAATATTTACAAAATTCTAAATATATATTTTACCTGGTTAATGTGTGTGGCGGGGCGTGGTCTGCAGCGCCGCTGCAGGGGAGGCGGACGCACCTGAGCGGCACCCGCAATCACGCCTCGCCACCTTAACGTCTGTGCAACCTATGCTGTTGTGTTGGTGTGTGTCGGGCTGTGAGCTGAAAAGCTACAGCCGGCTGTGTGCGTACGGCAAGGTCTGCCGTGATATGTTTACAACGGGACTTCTGCTCCTGAACCTCTGCGCACAGCGTCTTCAAATCAGGGCTGTACGAAGTCACTTTCATCTTTACGCAGGACTGTAAGCTGTCGTCTGTGAGGCGTGAGTGGTGTTTGTTTTTAACATAGTTCATAGTGGAGAACAGCTGCTGACATAATGTGGATCCGAAGATCCATAATTGGCCTACCTGGGGTTGAAAGTCTCGATAAATCAATGGTGTTTCGGCGAGTACGCCGGCTTCCGCGAGTGTGACGCTTATTTTGAGCGATGAAGAAATAATAGAATATAATTGTATTTTTGTATTTTAATATCACAATAATCTAACAATTTAGAACTACAAGTTAAAAAAGAACTAACATAAATAAAATACACTTCAGCTAAATACTTCTAATATATTTTCCCAAACCACGCGGAGCCGCACTATAAGGACTAAAGAGCCGCAGGTTGCCGACCCCTGGGTTAGGGTATACTGGTGGTGTGTGGGAAGGCAGAGGTAAGTACTAAATGTCAGTAACTGAAGAAAGAAGAATATTATCCAGGAGGAGCTGAGACAGGTTCTGGGTTTTAGGGACGAGTTACCAGATGACTGGGAAAGTAAAGCCCAAGTGGTGAGTGAAACAGTCAAGAAGGTATTTAGTGTATCTCGTGGACAGAGGAAAGAAGACAAGGAGACCTCTCTTGTGGTGGAATGAGAAAGTATAGAAAGGTATTCCCAAAGAGAAGTGGAATAATCAGGGAAATGGAGAAAGCAGTGGCGGGATGTCAGATGTCCAACAAAGAGCGAGGTTTTACAGCAAAATAAACTGGAAACGAAAAGGCTTATAGTTGTATGAGTTATATGTGATCCCGGACAGAGAAAAGGACATGTACTGATTGGCTAGGCAGAGAGAGGAAGCTGTAATGATGTGACGTGGGTTAAGACTAAGGATAGACAGCAGAGTAGTAAGACATGTGTTTCATCTTTGTAACACACTGTTGAGGAGTAAAGGGAATACGCTGAGGGACTAATGAATGAAGAACATGAGAGAGAATCAGGAAGTGATGATTCGAAAGGAGAACGTGAGGGCAGCTACGAAGCAGAGTGGGAGGCAAATGGTCCGATGACACACCTGTGGAGGTATAAAAAGGTCCAGGAGAGACTGTAGTGGACTTTTGTTAACAGAGAAGTATACAGAGGGTCAGAAGGAAATCTAGAGAAAACATTTGCTAGGGTGCCTGAAAGTAACTGTGGTACTACGTTAGGAAGTCAGGAGTGGCAGAGACATATGAGTGGCTGTAGCTCAGGTGGTAGAGCAGGTCATCTACTGATCGGAAGGTTGGTGGTTCGATTCCCGGCTTCCCCGGCTTCCCCTAGTCTGCATGCCAAATATCCTTGGGCAAGATACTAACCCGAAATTGCTCTCCGATGCATTCATCGGAGTATGAATGTGTGTGAATGTCAGTTGTGCTTGTGCGAATGGGTGTGAATGTCAGTTGTGCTTGTGCGAATGGGTGTGAATGGGTGAATGCACTAGTTGTGTAAAGCGCTTTGAGTGCTCAGAAGAGTGGAAAAGCGCTCTATAAGAACGAGTCCATTTACCATATGTGAGGGTGGTGCAGGACATGTATGAGGACAGACACTGAGGTGTGAGGTAAGAGTTGTGTTTTATTGTTTGGACAGTATCTGTTAAGAAGAGTCATTATAGACAGCAAGCTTCATTTAAATCATCTACAAAGATTTTACTGCAGTTATGATTCAGAGAGAAAATATGTTTTTGACGAATTATTTTTTAATGGGATTGTACCAGTTTGTGATAAAACATGGGGAATGGTCACTTACATCATTTAGTTGTCCACTTTTGACATTCTTGCCAAGAACATTTGTAAATAATGAGTTTAGGACAGTGTGAGGTGATTTTCATTTAACGAGTGACTGACGGATAGATGCAGACTACTGTATACTGTATGTAGGAAATCTGTAACTGATCTGTATCAGACTTACATGAAATTGATATTCAAATATAAACCATTTTCTTATCATTGAGAGGATCATATGACCCTAACGGTAAACGTTTTATACATGATCCAGGGGTCATGATTCGTTTCCTTCGTTTTCTTTTTCCGTCTGTCGGGTTCATTCTGTTTGACAGCCTGACAGCATCCCAAGAGAGGAACTGGGATATTATATGAGGAAATTAGGAGTGGCAGAGCAGCAGGTGAGGGCTGCACAGGACATAAATGAGAACAGCAAGGCAGCGGTGAGGTGTGCATAGGAGTGACAGATGGGATCAAGGTGGGGGTGGAACTACGCCAGGGATCAGCTGTTGGTTGCAATGGTGATGGGCAGGTAAAGAGATGAGCTCAGGCAGGAGTCCTCCTGGCTATGACGTGTGTGGATAAAACTTTTATCTGTAGTGAGAGTGGGGGAGCAGGTGGAAGAAAGCCTGCAGAGGTGGAGGTATGCAATGAAGACAAGAGGAATAGAAGTTAATACAGCAACATTTATGTGACGTTGTCTGATACTGTCTCACGTGCTTCTCAGAGGCGATCAAACCATCAGCCTTCCCATTGACAAACAAACCCGCTTTACCTGCTAAGCCACACCCACCCTCATGATGATGTCATGTTTGGTATGTGCCACCATGTAAAAAGATGACAAGAGCACAAATTTGCTGTTGGCCAAACATTTAGGCTAGCTGCTCAGTAGATATCTGCAGGTGAGTTTTATCAGGTGTTGGTAAGAGTTACTATTTTTCCTGCTCTATTGACCATCAATTTTAGATAATGCACCTTTAACAACTAATTAATACTAACTAATAACTAATCCGTTTGTATTTTGTATGTGTTATTCCCTACCGAATATAAACGGCGATATTTCATTTTTAAGCTAAAATTAAAAGTTCAGGTTTCCAGATGTCTCGGAGCTCATGTTGTAGGATCCATCTCTGCACTACAGAACCTACAGGAGAATGTTTTTTCACGTCATAAAATTCCCAACAATAGTGACCTGCTGAAGATGCAATGTACAGCATACTGAGTAAATTACAGATAACGATGTTACAATCATTATCTGAACACTAATGAGTGGACACTTGAGGTAAAAGATGAATTTAAAACAAGGTTGACATCCAAATATGTCTCAGTGTAGTAATGGCATCAGAATGGTCATGGATCCTTTCAGCCACAGAAACAGTTCATACATGTAGAGTTTCCACAGGCTGAGAGACTCGGCCAGCGTGATCTGCACACGCCTTCTCCTGCTCTGAGTTTTAGTCCTCTTGTGCCTGTCAGACAAAGCAGAAGAAAGAGGAAGTGGTTATGCCTTTGGCGCAATCTGGGTCATAAAATCAAGATTTCTCTCAAAAGCCATTTCTCATGAGTTTCACACAAAATCACAGACAATTGCACGAGCCATCATCTGTTTACCACTGTGGGAATAGTGAGGACGTTTGCACTGTGATGCACAGAAGAATGAATCAATGTGCTCTGTACATGTTCAAAGCGTTAGGAAAATACATTTTAAAATGTTGTCAAAGGAGCTTGCAAAGAAAAGCGTCTGGACTTCTTTAAGTTACTTTCTTCAAGCAATTTAAAGAAGTCCAGACGCTTTTCTTTGCAAGCTCCTTTGACTACGATGACCTGGATGACTGAGAACCTTCACAGACATTTTAAAATGTTGTTGCCAAACACACAAAGAGAATATGGTGCAATCAAAAGAAACCAAATTTATTTGTAAAGTTTTGTTGTTTTTTGGATGACAATGGTAAGATGTTAATGAACACACAAATGAGAATTTACTTTCATCAGCAGCCCATGGAGCCCTTCACATCAAGCCCAGGTTCTCATACCATTAGTCATGGATAAATTGGTATTGAATATTTGGATTCTTGACATTGTTCATCTAAATGGAACCAACCTGCAGCCCAACTGGACCTTTGGGTAGTTTCATAGATGTAGTTTTCTTTAGCCACATTCCCTCACTATCCTCTGTTCATTTAAGCTGCACAAACCCAGTGAGATGTGCTGCCCACATTGGAGAGTCCATTTGGTTCTTGGGTGTCCTATTTCAATTTTTAAAAACTGATGCAATTAGAACAGGTGATACCACATTTTATCAAAAGGTTTTTTCAGTGCTCCAAAGAGCACAAAGAATATTTCATTCACCTCCATTACATGTATGAAATCTAAGTCTTGGTCAAACTGTCACTCAAAGTAACCTCCACATGTTTGCAACATACAGCAAACAAAACACCCTGGTTATTATATTTGATTCTTTTTCCACCTACCATAAAGCAAAAAGTTTGCAGTTTGAAAACAAGGTAACCTCTAAAGAGCCGTCACTCATGTAAATTCTATGTTACCAGTGAAACATGTCAAAACTCACAGACCAGCCAAGACTTTGATATGTTAACAGATTCTTATATCATGTCTTATGTCACCTCTTTCTGAAAGTACATTTCTTACCTGGCTATGGCTCGTATGCAGCAGCGGGACATGTTGATGAAGGATGAGGATGAGGCCCTGGTCTGTAGCGTGGTCTCAATGCCTCGCAGCAGGTCATTGGTCTTCAGCAGCAACAGCATCTGCCGGGGAACTCTGTTCAACAAGTTGCTGATCTGGGGCAGGTACAGGCCTGCATTGGTCCTTATCTCAATATCCTGCCAAGTAAGACACGCAACAGGAAAAGTAAAACTCAGGTTGCATGTATATGTGTAAGTCCATCAATGGCTGCTTATACCCAGTGAGTGTGAAAAAGATAAAACACTTGAAGTGGACAGAACAAGGAGAAGGAATTGGCTGATCTTATCAAACTGTAATATTTTCATATAATCAGACGAAGCAGGCCCCCGGGTCAAAGTACTGTTACTGACTATTAATAATGGCTCGTGGCTACATACGACAGATGACGCTGACAGTGTAGGCTGATCAGTTTCTTCAAGTCACTACTTTGGCTCTCGGAGGAGGCGGACACACTTTTTCTCCTCTCCCTTATCTTCCCTGCTTATGTCCTTGTCTTGTCTCGTGTGTTTTTTTTGTATTACTTTCCCTGGAACACACTCTCACAGTCTGTTTCTAAAACCTAACGAGAAGTCTGGGCTCGGGAGAGCCTGAGTGCCCTGGAGGTACTTTCCCTGCCGGATACACGATGGACGGGTGGCAGACATGGAGGATCGTGTGCCTGGCGGGACTGTCGATCGAGGACGCTGAAGATATCTACCTATT